CCGGCCTGGTTGGCTGGTTGAGTTAGCCTGGTAAACGCCTCTGGGGCTCCGCCTGCTCATTCCATTGTTTGCTGCTTGATATATTTTTTTTTCGTTTCGAAGACGTGGCTAATTTGAATCAACCGCCTCTCGCTCATTTTCGCTGTCCCAAAATGAAACTGAAATTCAGGCAAGCCCCGAGTCGCAGTTGGGACTGGCAGTCGCCGTCGTCGTCGCCATCGTCATCGTCCCCAGTCGTAGCAAATTAAACGCATGCGCAGCGCCCGCAGGCTAAGACGCATTCGCTGCCGCTCTCCAAAAGACCTGGTGGCCATCGGAGCTCGGCGGACGCTACCGCTTCCGTGGCCGAGCGCCCCAAAACAAGCATGTTGATAATTGTTTCCTGGACGCGGTAACCCGAGCCCAAAGCCGAACGAACCTAAACCTAAACCTGAACCTGAACCTGAGCTGGCGGCTGTTACTGCGATTGCTTTGGCTGCTGTGGCTGCTGCGTCTGCGCCGGCGTCTCAAGACATAAATCCAACAGTAAACATATAAATTTAGCTATAGTTATGTGCAGAGAGAAAAATTGATGAATGCGGCGTCGTCATTTGATTATTCAATTATATTCGTAATATATCATTTATGATCCTCAGAAAAGACAGCTGAAATACTTTACCACATATGATTCCTGAACACTTTGAAATACCTAGATTACTTCCCATCACAATGCCTCAATAGACTTCAACTTCTACCTTTTCGCTCAGTGTAGCCATATCTTTATGGCGCTGTCATATGAGCTTGTGAGCTCTTGTCTACGTATTTTGGCTTGTTTAGAACGTAAATTATGCAATTATCATAATTGGTCAGCGAGGCATTTGGCCAATTATGATATATATTTATGAGCATTTCCAGCCATGCCCTTAGCCCTGTCACGCAATCTCTAATCACATACGCCCACAAAAAAATTCAAACAGAAAAAGCATATTCAAGAAAATGTAAATAAAGTAGTCAAAAAAAAGTTCTCTAGCGATTGACGGGCTGCACTTGTCGCAGCCTTAAGTATTATCATTGTGCAGGCATTGTTCCAATTACGCGGCTCTGCACGCACTTTGGCCCTATCCACTGCTCCATCCAATATAATGCCATATAATAGCTGGACTGCCCTTTTTTTTTAATATTATTTTTTTTACTCGTAGTTGCCCTTTTAAATGCCGATAACCTTTTATGCGCCCGCCGAATGACTATGAAAAAAAAAAAGAAAGACGCAGACTTGAGACTCGAAATGCATTAAATTAAAATTTTTTTCGTTGGAAATTGTTTGCTGGCCAACGCGTTTTTTAACGCCATGAAAACTAATTTTATGTTTACAGACACTCACACACACATTTACACACGCAATTCAATTACATGGCCCGAAAAGTGTGTTCAATAGACGCAACTTCATTTAAATGGTGGACCCGACCGACCAGCACCTCGCTTAGCAATGCATGACCAGTCCTCAATGTAATACCCCGCAATATCTTCTTGCAAATGTCTTGCACTTTTTGTGCATGCTAATTGGCATGGGGGAATTACGTACACATATGTGGGTGTGTGTGTGTGTGGTTGTGTGTGTATGTATGTACGGCTGCAGACTTAGGGCCAAGTTTTGCATAAACCGTTAGCAGCTGCCTTGGCTAGCAATTCTCACGATTCTACCTAGTAACTGGCAATTTAATATATGGCAGCTATAACTATCACATAACTAATCGTAAAACCTCTAAGCACGAACGTTTTATCGATTGCGCAAACGCATCTAAAAATGTTGGCAATACTCGTAATTAGTTTTGTTTAGGGCTTGTTCTGGACGCACCTATAGCGAATATTAAAGAGTTCCTTATTGGATTATTTCTTTATATTTTATTTCAATAAGCTCTTGCTGTGCACATTAAAAATCGTAAAATAAAAGCGTATATTAAGGTGGGACAAATATTTGATGAAGGCATCTCTGTTTTATATAAGCATATCGAGTTTGTTTTTATTGATAATTCCTTAAATTCGAATCGCCCTTTTTATGGGCTTAGGTGCCAACCAGATTTTTATATTGTTTCGTAATGTAATACTCCTTGGCCTTCTTCCTTATCTTCATTGCTTCTTCTCGGTTTTCCCAACTATTTCTTTATATTTCTATCACTTAGTGAAAGAACATTCGGCATTTAAAACCATGAAAATCGCATAGAAAGGCGATAGTGAGATGAAGATTAAGCAAGACGGCGTGTTATGTTTTTTTATGTGCATTGATTTTCATTTAGATCTTGCCTGCATGGAAATTAAATATTTAATATACCGAGCATTCCGCTTGTTGAAATTAATTTTATTTTATCTAAGATAAAATGATGTATATAAGTTGTTTATTATTTTTTTTGTGCGCTTTTAACATACTTTAGATAACACAACCTCGTTTACGATGTTATAAACAGTGAATTCCACAGTCTGAATGATGCCATCATTGACTGAATGTGTCAATTGGCTTTGATGACAAATGTTAGCTGATTGACAGCTTAGCTAACGATCAGCTTTATTTTTATCATTTTTATCTACTTATATACTTGTTGCCTATGTAATCTTAATTGAGTTTAATCATTTTTAAGCCAAAAATCTCTGGTATTTCTGGCTCTCTTAAGGGCATGGACAGTTCTTGCACAATCCCAAATCGCTTCACAAGTTAGCTCAAGCTGAAAGCTTACCATGCAGATCGCTTGACTTCACCAATCTGTTGCCAATTGGATCACACACACACACACACACACACACACACACACGGACTGTGCCTCCACATCCTCTGCAAGGCCAAACATATCTGAGAATTCGCACAAGAATTATGAAATATGCAAAGCAATAAACAATTTAAAATCAAATAAAAAGACAACTTCATATTGGGCAATGGCAAGCGGCATCGAGCATCGATTCTTGCCTGAGCCCTGCTCCAAAAATATGTATATAAATATATATATTGATACATATGTATGTATTTATATGTACCAATATTTTATGCTTTAAGCGTTTATTTGCTTAGAGCGACCCCCAAAACAAGCAGACGACGACGACGACGACGACGACGACGGATCAGCCGCATGCGACTGGCAACTGGTAACCAGGCTGGGAGCACCAGAGCACATGGAGCATACACATGGCACTGGCACTGGCACTGGGTATCCGTTTTCTCGGCAGGCTGTCTGCCTACTGTTGGCGGACAAAAATGTTGCGGCTGCCGGTTGCCGCCGATTCGCCGTTGTTGTAGTTGCTGCAGTTGTTGTTGTTGTTGTTGTTGTTGTCTAAATTTATGATTATTGCCCTGCCAAGCATCTTACGAGCAGCGGACTCAATTCGCCTTAGCCCAAATGGCGCTGCTGGTGCTGGTGCTGCTGCTGCTGCTGCTGGTACCGAGTGGGGGAGGGAAAGCCAAGTGATTCTGCAGTTATAAAAATTGGATTTTGCGCGCAACTTAATCACATTTTCGCCTTCAACTGGCGACTCAAGAGTCGACTCGACTCGACTTGACTTGACTCTGGCGACGCTCCGCAACTCTCCGCTCAGCTATTTTATTGCTGTCGACTCTTTGTGACTTTTTTTTTTGTATTCTTTACTTTGGTTCGGTGTGTGGTGGCTCTGCGCCTGGCGAAAATTTACGATTATATCGAAATCTGATGGTTTATACGCGACCGCGGCCAAAAAAAAAACACAACAAAAAACCGAAAAAAACTACTTTGTATGGAGCTGGTACGGAGGAGACAGCACCGTCAGAGTCTGTGAAGATTTACGGAAAAAAATTAATTTACGATTCTAGGGAAAATCAAATTACGTAGTCGTCGTACAGTTGAAATCGGTTCTCGACTTCGTTTTCGCTTTATGGCAACATTTGCCACCAACAAAGTTTTATTCAAATTACGATTTAGTAATTAATTTCAAAATAGGCCGTTTGCTAATCCGTGTGACTCTAACTGGACTGCGATAATAACAATATGGGGCCAAGGAGATGGTGTGGCTCAGTGGCAGGGGCACGGGCAGGGGCAAGCAGCTATGACTGTGTCTGCAGCTGATTAAGGCACTCGATGATAAAAACCCGTTTGAAATGCGCTGTTTACTTTTAATGTTATGGCACTGCCAGCGATGATTAACCAATAATGATAATGGATGAGCGGGAACGGGAATGGGAATGGGAACGGGAACGGGAACGGGGCGTCTCACAGAGACTAACTGCCACTGACACTGACTGACAGCTCAGCCTAACGAGTTGGGGAATTCTTTATGTATGCAATTGCATCAAGTCTTCTTTATTTTTGTTTTATGGTCTTTGAGAAGTTGGGAAAGTGGAAAAGGCGGTCATACGACTGCAGTTCTAATTAAAATTGAGCAACGTTTCGTACTGGCAATAAAATGAAAATGAATAACTATTCAAATAGTTAAAGTCGATTTACATTTGGTGTCAGACATTGTGAGAATCATATAAACAAAACCCGGTTTGCTCATAAAAGTGTTTGACTACATAACCCAATCAAAGTTACGTTAGAAGTCTGAATATGTTCGTGAAAAAGATTATGTATGTACATATATAAAAAGGCTAGTATATTAATGAATAATAAAGGTGTTAAGATACCGATATTATGTGACGTACAGCGTTTTACATGAGGCAGATCACTTTGTTAAAGTTCAGCTACATTGAGAAGCGCAGAGAACGGCTTGCAAGCAATTAGATTGAGAAATAGGAAAAAATCTAAAGAGATATAGACGGTTTGTATTATTATTCATGTTCTTCTTATCCTTAAAAAAGTTTTAAAACAGCTTTTACCATGCAAAATCTCACCGAAGAGCCAAAATATTGTGCATCTCTTGGTTTTGAGAAGCGCACAGAAGAAGATCAGAGCTTTAGTGCAATTAGTTCAATGGTATTCATCTGCTTACATAGTGCACCTACTGGCCTTGCTCCAACTGTGAGTACTCAAAATATTTACCTTGTGGGCCTTTCTGTCAGCTCATCCTTTCATTTTTGTTGCTGTGCCTAACGCAAGAGGCGTATGCTCCAAATTGGTTAAATGTGAGGCGCTGCCAGCTTATCGAAGGTGTTGTGTACACGTGTGTGTGCATTGTGTGCTCGTCTGGGCCGGGACCCACCTCAGACACAGCCATTTGCCAAAACCACTTGGAATTTGTTTGGCGTTGCGAAGTCATCGGCAAGAGTAGCAGAGATTGTATCGATGGCAAGGCAAACGACTGTCAGCCAGAGGTTCAAATACTAACACTTAATGAACTTAACTTGGCAACAACATCAAATTTCCATAAGAAAGGCAAAAGGAAAAGCCAGCTAGCTGTAGTTGTTGCTGCCGCTGCGTGTTGTAAGTACGAGTATCTATTAGATACGCTGCGTTGCAACAAACTGCAATATGCAAGGCTCGTACGATTTAGTGTCTACCTGCCCCACACACTTGTTGTTGCAGTTGTTCTTGCCTGTGTTCTGCTTGTGGATGCTGCCTGCACAGAGGCATCAAGATACAGGCCCAACAACATTGGTAGCAAGTAGCTGCCGGGTTTTTGAGTCTAAGGCTACGGCTGCGGCATCGGGTTCGGGCTCGGGCTCGATCTCGGTCTTGGTCTCGGGTTCGGGTTCGGTCTCTGTTCTGTACTGTGAGCGACTTTGGCAATCAGCAATTAGCAGATATGTTAACTTCATGTTAACGAACCAATTTGAAATTTAAATGCGGCACAAACTCGGGTGCTCATACGTCGTTGTTGTCATCACTTCTTCAACCGGGGGCCTTCCTTTCAATGTGTCTCTCTCTCTCAGTGTGTGTGTGTGTGTGTGTGCGCCTGTGTGTGCGACAGCCTGAAAAACCCGCCACCGAAGCTGGGGCCAATGCCAGGTTCTTTTGCTGCCTCCTCTCGTCCAGCTCAGGCAAACTGCACACACATTTTTTTAGTTTAGCAAAATTTTAATACAAAAACCAAATCGAAGCCGCTGCTTGAAGCGATCCCAGACGATACATATGCATAAAGCAGAAACAACAGAGCTGGAAAAATGAAAAAACAAACAAAAAATGGGAAAAATAAAAAGCAACCTTGTCATCATACCCGAGTACGAGTACGAGTACAAATGAAAAGAGTTCGTTAAAAGCTTCTTCATGTTTCTTGCCGCTGTGTCTGTATGTGTGTGTGTGTGTGTGTGTGTATGTCTGTGTAGCTGCAAATTCTTTTGGGCCCAACGAACGTACGTATGTCGAAGAATCATTCTACCTTCTGTGCTTTTATAAATCACAGGTACGACGACCGGCTCTGGAATTCAACGACTGACGACTGCGGCAACAGACAGGAAGGAATATAACGACGACGACAACTTAAGCGCGAAAAAAAATAGTCAATAGCGGCGACGAAGAGTGCACCGAGTGGCACCTGGAAGGGGGGGGGGGGGAGGGAAGTGGCGACTCCTAGCCATGCAAAAGATAACAATGCAAGTGCCTGCCACGGCCTCGTGGCCAAAGCCATGGACATGTAATTGTTGCAACTTGAAGCCAGCGCAAAATTTAAAGCGCAATTTCAGACCGTATGACAAACAATAAATCAGCTGAAACCATCGACTATATCCACTGGTAGCTCCAGCTGCTACCATGTGTGAAGGAAGTGGTAAATAGTTAAATAAGCCGAGCTCCATCATCATTTGACAACAGTTCTAAGCCGGGCAATACCCTGTGCAAAAGTTCTGAAAGGTTCAACAACTGCCTGCAATTGACTGCGAATTCAAAACTAAATTATCGTTGAATTGGCTAACGGTTCGAACCAGCGCCCTCTCTTTGTGAATTTGATTTTTCATTTATATTTACAATCAAACCATTTTCTGAGAAAAATGTGGTGCGATTCGAGCTTGGGTTCAGCTCTTTATAAGGCAATTGATTTGATTTAAGATTTAGAATTCGAACCAGCTTGGTTCAAACCCGGTTCGCAGTCCTGGTGGTGCTGTAAAAGTGCTGTAAAAGTCTAGCCCGTTTACCCTTTGAGCTTAATTATTTGTTCTAGGGTTTGCTTTAATTGTTTAGTAAATACCTCCTGCTGCTTACACAACTTTATCATTGAACCCGACAACCTTTGCAAGTACAGGGTATAGAAACGAATTCAATGAAATTATCATACACATGGTAGCTATAGTTGCACGTTCTCAGCTCTCATGTGTATCTGTCGGATTAACTAATGCGATTTGCGGTGCTCATAAAAAGTGTAACGACTTCAGAGACTCTAGAGAGCAACCTTGGCGTATCGCAAATGAAGTTTTGCTTTAAGTTTGTGTTGGTATGTGATTTTCTTCCTCTTTTTTTTACACCCAAGCAGCTCTAGAACCTGACCATGGGGGGCATAGGCATAAATGTGTTTACAGGTAGCCCCGAACAGTTGATCGTTGATATTGCCGGGAATAATAGCCAATGCGATGGCAACGATTTTGCTGACTCAAATTTAAACGCGTTTTGAGTGCTGTTTCTATGGATTGGTTAAGAATAAACACTAAATTCCGATGGCCACATACCGAATAGCGCAGGGCGAACGTTTATGATATCATAAAAACATAATCGCCTAATGAGTTTTCAAATAAAGTTTTTGACAAATAAAATTTATATATATATAAACGGAATCAAAACAGAAAGAATCTCTGTTTACTAACTCAATTATACGTGAAGAAACGCTTAAAAGAAAAATAAAAATATAAACGAAAACAAAACTGGAACCGGAGAACTTTCATAAGCACTTGCTGAAAAGTTTTTGTTTTTCGTGAAACACTCCCCAAATGAACGCAATTTTGAGCTGTTGCTCCCAGGCAAAAATGCATTCATCATAAATGACACACACACACGTACACACGCACACACACACGCACACACTCACGAACATACATACACGCACAAGAGCTGAAATTAAATTGCAATTCAGGCAGTTATTCAAAGATTGAGGACGCACTAAATGAACGATAAATGTCAGTAGAACTAGCAAAATTTATATTATTGTATTGCAAAAATTTTTAATTGCTTGACAACATCACAACACACACAAAAACATATCCTGTCCGTTTGTGTGTGATTGGCTATGCAAGGAGCAGATTAGAGTTGAGCACGTGTCGTGACACGAACACGCAAAAACTTAACACGAAAACATGAATTGTTATTATTTATTATTATTATGAGTATGCGCTATAATCAGATAAAAGCTCTCAATCAAACTTTTTATATATCTCTCAGACAAAACCATCTAAATATCAATCCACACTATCTAAATATCTAGTTGCCTAGGCTTCGAGTTTGGATCCTTGAATCCTTGTTGTTCAATTATAAAAATTGGAAACTGAACTGGACTACTTAGACAACCCCAACAGCCTAGAGCAGAGTTTATTTATCTATTACTGGTCAAATATTTGGCAATTTACAGTCCATTCTCGGGATTCAAATCCCCAGCAAATAGAGTAGAGTAGCCAGCAGTGTTTTAAGTTTAGTTTATTTTTAATCTAAATCCCACTCGTCCAATTATAGGATTTTAAAATTTTGTGTTCGACTTCTGTTGAGAATGTGAAACACGCGCTCCGCTCTAGCTTGGAGTCTCTGTGTTTGTTCAAAAACCACTCAAAATATAATTCAGTTTGCCACTGGCCAAAAATTGGTCATCGTTGGTTTTGGCGTTTGGCTCTGATTTTATTTTAAGTTTTCCGATACACCGATGTGGACCAACGGTTGAGATAACAAATAAAAATAGTTAGTTCTTGGCATGTTTTTGGGGTGTTTGTGTGGCCCACGCAAGTCGCAAACGTTTTGTATTCACGAGTTTGCACAATTTTTGCATTCAATACAAAATTCTTTGGGTCCGTTGTGTTGTGTATTGTTACGTTTGATGAAATCACGTACCAACAAATATATATATGTGTGTGTGTGTGTGCACACACATCTTATAGGCACACACATGTGTGTGTATCTGTATTTTGCAAAGGTAGTTGAGCTTGTGCATAGTTGGGTAGGTGCAACATGCTCGTAAAACAAGCCAGCTGAATGTCTGGTCTCTGGCCGTTGTAGTGCCAACTGCTGCCAAGCTGCAAGCTAACGTGTCAATTGCCACAGTGAGTGGGGCAGGCTGCAGGGTGCAGGGTGGTGCAGGGGGGTGCAGGGGTGGTGGAGGCGGCTCGGACGTCGGCTGTGCAACTATCAAATCAAATTGGTGGCACAGGATAATGTTTTGAGCTGCGGTTGAAGTTTTTCCCTTGTTGTTTGCATTTGTTGCCCGTTGTTCGAACAATTTTTCTTGTTTTTGTAGCTTTCTGGTTTCTGTTGGTTTTTAGTGCTTTGTGTTTTGTTTGGTTTGATTTGGTTTGGTTTTGTTGTGTGCTGTATGCTGTGTGTTGTGTGTTGTCTGTTGTTGCAAGTTGTCATTTTTCGTATTTGGTAATTGGTTGCTGCTTTGTCACACCAACAACAACAGCAACAACTATAGCCACATGCAAAATGGCATGCCCAGCACATGGGAGACCGAGCCAGCCGGCACTATTTCCTGCCCCGCTGCCCCGCACAGCGCCAACACCCCTGTACCCTGTTGCTATTGTTGCTCAACTACGTGCTCTTTCATTTGTTTTTATTATTATTAAACAACTCTCGGTGCCCCAACGTTATTTGTTGCTGGACATGGACAACGCCGCTCCAGCAATGTGCACGTGTCATAAAAGTTTACAGACACGGGAGCAGAGCGCGAGCCATGGCACGAGTTGTTACCGTTACCATTGGCCGGCACAGGTCGCTGGGTCAGTAGTATTTACGTGTGTGTGAGTGTGTGTGTGTGTGGGTGGGTTAGGTGGGGCCAACACACACGTGTGATAAGTCGTGGCCCAATATGTCGCGCTTTTTACGACCGCACGAATCACTGAGTTCTGATCTAAATTAAGTTGATTCAATCAAGATTTGCGTGCGGCTGCCCGCCAATGGATTTGTTTAATGCCCTCACAGCAGCAATAACAACTCAATATGAAACGTGGCCCGATTGCGAGGGCTTATGTCCAATTGTGTAATGCTTGTAAGCAGTTAATTCGGAGCTTTGCTCTGCCCATTCAAAGCTAGACAATGCTTAACTCGACCTAAGCCCGCTTCTGTGCCGCAAGAAGTCACACAAGCGTCCGCACTGATTGACTATTGCTCTACAGGTACACAATTCTAAGAGCTGTTCCTCTAAAAATAGCCACAAAAAAATAGATTTATAGTAGCTTAAGCTGCTTTGATTTGTTTAAGGATAAGATGGTTGCAAACAAAAAGTATGTATTTATTTATATAAACTAGTGTGTTTGCGTAATAAGAGTCTTCTGCCCACAATTCCAATAGGCAGACAAGTCGAGTCGACATTTTATCAAAGATTTATTTCTTACACTTATTACATTTATATAATAACAAAATTATTTTACGTTTAAGGATCTTTAGCATATTTAAATGTTTTCTTCGTTATTTTGCGATTTAAATAAAAATGAAAATATGTTTTAAGCTTCTTAAAGATTTACACATTTGAGGTAAAGTCGCCTAGATTAACTTTATAATCATATTTAAATATGTTATATACATAACATATGTGTAAATATAAGAATTTTTAAGCGAAACAGGCAATATTTTAAACTATAAAAACATTTTCATTATGAAGTTTCTTAAAATTAGGGCACATGCAATTATGTTCCTCCAGCCCTGATTAAATCGACACTAATAGTTTTGCTTCATTGTGATATCTGATACACATTTTGTGTGCGCCTTTATATTATTCAAAAAACACATCAGCTGCAAATACAGAAATATCTTGACGAAACACCTTTTACGAACAGCTGACATTCTATGCAGCAGATATCACAAATACTTTGATATATAATACGCATGTTTTTTTTCTGCTTGTTATGATGGTAATTCATTATTTTCACATTGCTTTAATTAAGCCACCTGCTAATCAAATGTTTACCTTTTAAACCGGCTTAAATACCTCATAGCAAACAGTTTGCAAAACCGAAATCTGTGTCCGGTTAGAACATGACTTATCTCGTATCCATGCCGGGCCAAAGAGTTTTTCAGTTCGAGAATAGAAAAACATTTGAAAGTCCGCACAAAATTATGCTGTCCAATG